TACTTCTCTAATTGTTGAGCTTACTTCCATTTCGAGTGAAAGTGTTGCGTGAAGAGATTCCAAGGTCGCTTCCACCAGAAGCCCAACTGTCGATTGGTTTTACTGGAACATTCATGCTGACGCTGTTGCCGAGGCAATCTCACTCGATTTAGGCGAAAAGGTGCTAAGGAGACAGACACACTCACATGCATCGAAGTTAACATATGACCGTAACTAACCAAATCACTTTATACTTTATCAAAGAGGCCAGATGTAGAGTAGATATACCGTTTTTTAGGGATTTGCCGGTGAGTTTTCTTGACGCGTTAGCTTCAATTTGGTTGTGACGATGAGACCCTTCTTGCTCTGATGATGTTCGTCACATGACGGACAGAAACTTGGCACCTTTTTACCGGAATCGAAGCAGATTGCCTCGGCAACAGCATCAGCCAATCGACAGCTGGTCAAGAGGAATCGGCCGTCGTCTTTTGGTAGAGCCGACCTTCGAATCTCTTTACGCAATACTTCCACTCGAAATGGAAGTAAGCTCAACAAAAAGAATAAAGCAGAATGACACAAGTGGATCGGAATTTCTGAATAGTTGCTCTTCCAAAGGTTAAGTTCGCTTATTTATGTAAAAATAATCAAGCTAGTCTTACTTTGAACAGACTACTTATTAGCTGCTACTTATTGTTATGAAGACTTTCATTTCGTTTATAAATGCAGGATTGTGGAGAATTGCGTTTCGTATAAAAGTGTTCCCGATCCGACCAGTTGTTCTTCAGCCCTGTTTGTTTTGAGTACGACCTTCAGATTGTCCCAGGCGCCGAGGCATTCTCGTCCGTTTCGGATGAGAATGGACTTTCGACATTTGCCAGATTCAGTCCCAGCTCCGAGGATGCTCGTCAAATGGCGCGGCCAACGAAAGCTCAACTCCTTTCCACCCAAAACGACAAAGAAGATCTCTTGAACAGCAGAAATCAGCTGTCTTCTTCCGATGGCATCGGCCTTTGAATGTATTCGCCACATGAATCCTTTCACTGGAAGTGGAAATGAGTTGATCAAGTGCAAAAACAAGAGAGTCCACGAAACTCAAAATACTTTTCCTCGCATGCACTCATCCCCTGAGCCATTTTCCCCAGAAACATGCTGTAAATGGACAGAATAGGCATAGCAACCTTCACTTTGCCCATTTTCCATACACCCCATCTCATACTTACTCTTCTCTTTCGATCTTTGTTACAGACCGCCCGATTACAGTTGGGTGGAGCGCGAGGAGTTCCAGAAGTACGAGGAGAAGACATGCGACAAACAGAGCGACACTGACAACAGCACGAAAGAGGATAACTCTGAGCTGTCCATAGAACCAGGCAACGAGGAT